TTTTCTAGTAGTGTTTTGGCTGGTCAAAACGCTAACCGCTACCTCAAACGCTACATCAAATTAGTTTCTTAAATTAAAAAAATCATTGTTAAACGACACCCTTATTTACCAGGTAACGCCCACATTTAAACATAAATGGACAAAGATAGCCTCGCGTGTACTCCATATTTTTCTTCCCTGGCCTCTAACTCAATCGTACATTCTCTCCTCCCAACAAACCACCACCGACCGAAGGCAAGGTCATCGGACACATCGCCAGAATTAAAGTCGTTTTTTTTTTGTGGAGGCCAAACGCCTAAATTTTTCAAAACTCTAGGGGAGGAACGCCTAGAAATTTCAAAAGTCCCGGGAGATTCGAAAATTCTAGGCGTTTCCACCCGTAGAATTTTTCAGTTTTTGCGTTTTTTGTTTTTATCATAACTTTTGATTCAGAACTCCAATTAAGACAAATAATATATCTTTGGAAATCTCTAGAAGTATATTTTCTAACCCAATTAGAATCAGATCAATATCATTTTTAGATCTTAATATATGGTTACAATACTAAGTTTGGTCCAAAACCAACACCCTTACACTATTTCGATCATATCTTAAGATCTAGAAATAATATTAACTTGATTTGAATTGTGTTGGAAAGTAGACTTCCATAGCTTTCCAACGATATATTAATTGTCTTAATCCAAGTTTTAGATCAAAAGTTATGATAAAAACAAAAAAACAAAAAAACTGAAAAATTCTACGAGATAAAACGTCTAGAATTTCCGAATCTCCTAGGGACTTTTGAAAATTCTAGGCGTTTCTCCCCTAGAGTTTTGAAAAAACTAGGCGTTTGGCCTTCACAAAATAAAAAAAAACGACTTTAGTTCCGGCGATGTGTTCGATGATCTTGCCCTCGGTCGGTGGTTTGTTGGGAGGAGAGAATATTAGATTGAGTTAGAACATGGAATACATGCGAGGGTATGTTTGTCCATTCATATTTCAATATGGGCGTTACCTGGTAAAATAAGGACGTCGTTTAACTTGTCACAAAAGAAATTATATAAGATTGAAATAATTCATCCATATCTTTCTAAGCTAATAAGTTGGACTGAATTTAGAATTAATTTCTTCAAAAAAAAAAAATAACAAATAAATAAATTAATAAATTTCAACTATATGAATATAAATCATATAACTTCAAATAAACCAATACTACGTATATAAGATTGAAATAATTCATCCATATCTTTCTAAGCTGACATAGCCTATTTCAATCCGTATCACAATATTAGCAAGTTAAGATATGCCTAAAGTTTATCTCTTTTAACAGATATTACAGAGTACTTAATGATAAGATGAACATATGATAAATTGATTATTTTTTCACGCCAAAAAAAAATGAAATTTAGTTAAAATAATTGATCATGCTTATATTATGTATATATATGTACATGAATGAATGATAAAATAATATAGTACATCCAAGAGAAAAGAGAAGGATGGTAGGATCATCAACAACAAATTTAGAGAGTGAGTCATCATTATGCGATATTGAGTTGACCATAGAGTCGTGCCAATCCGTAAAACTCTCATTATGCTTAGCCTTGGTCATCCGGTTCGAACCTAGGCCGTATGGTGGATTGACCCAACTAAGAAGCGGTATACAAGAATTGACGAGAAAGGTGGGTTGAACCCAAATTGGAACCACACCTTTAGCATGAGGGTGAACAAAAACAACCAAAAGTCATGTATGGTGAACATTGAAATATATTATGCTGCAATCGGGTTGATGATCAAGGATAGGCTAATTGGCAAGACTTGGTTGGAAATAACTTTACCTTATATTAATAATGATATTACAAGAGGAATCGGGGCAAGGTATGTGTACAAACTATGGCGTCAATCTAACATGACTGGATTTATTAACGCCCGCTCCCTAGTTATCCACTATCCATGCAATGTCCACCACCACCAAAATCACCACATAAAGTTAAGAATGTCAAATTAACTTTGAGGAAATACTTTGTTGTTTGGAATTTGTTTACGAATTCTTACGAACCAGACTACACAAGCTAAGTTAATTTTCTCCATATTACATTACTAATTTTGTAATGTATTTTTTTTTTTTTTTTTTGTTTTTTTTTTAAGGAACATGTTAGGTAGTTTTTGAGTTCAATTTTTTTTAGTCTTTACAATAATCCAATACAAAATTTTGCATTTGGTTGTTGATTATAGTCAAAATTGACGATTATTGTAGTATTATATTATAGCCAAAAGCTATTTTTCCTTCTAAATTATCCATTTTATAATTAGCCACTTCTAATATCCCAATTGGGGAATAAGTAGTGCGGGTGAATTCCACATCCCAACCTTGGGAGTCACTAATTTATTTATTTGTTTTCTTTTTTTTTTTTTAATTTAATTTATTTATATATGCCAATGGAGAATTATAATCAATAATAAAGTATCAATAAGGCTGAAGCGAATTGAGTAATCGGTAACAAAAAGGGTCTTCATTCAAAAAAAAAAAAAAAAAAGTTAACGAAAAGGGTTTATTGAGCCGTAATTTCTCATTGGTCAATCTAAATCGGTTTATGAAGCATGCACTTTGAGAGGAAGGTTGATCCTACAAAATGCAAATTTTTTTATTAGGTCAAGGCTCTTCAAAGTTTGTTGGCTTTTATATAATTACCTCTTTACCCTATTTGCCCCTAATGCTAAATTGGGTCAGAAAGCAATTTTTCCCTTTTGTTCAAAACTGTTTATCTAATTAATTAATATATTAGCACCAAAATTATAGTAGCTGAATGGCCTAGCTGTTCTGCCAACTCAACCACTAAGCCGAAAATGGTCAATAATAATCTCTCTTTGTTAATTTAAGACACGTACTAATGCACTTCATTTAGAAACCATGCAAAAGTTAAAGCAACCTCTAAATAATTATAATTATAGTATTAATGTCAACTAGGATGAACGTATAACCAAAAAGGTACTAGTATTGCTTTTAATCTGGATTCCAGTTTTGGTAGTTTTATACTCTTTAGCTTGTGGTCAAATAACAGCTAGAGTCAGCTTCAATTGGCCCTTCTATTGCGTTGAGTTAATTAAAAAAGGGGTAATGCTAGACTCATTAGATACTTTTTTTTTTTAGGGTTTTTCTATATATTAACCTTGTTTATTTCGTTTTTCTACATTGTATCCCAACATATGTCACTTTTCACACTGTAACCCCAATATACATTTTGTTCCATACGGTAACCTTGCCGTTATCTCGCCGTTAAAAAATTCCGTTAATGGGGCCCACTCTCCATTTATTAATATTTTTTTATAGATTTGCGCGTTGAAAAATATTCCGTTAAACGTTTTGGGGGCTATTTTGGGCCTTATGGAACCAAATTGAACTCAGATTTCACAAAAAGTTACGTAAATGCCTCGTTTTGCGTATTAAAACATGAACACGTAAATCGAGACATTTATTAATAAGCAAAACGAGGCATTTAAGGAATAAAATAGCCCCCAAACCTTTAACGGAAGGTTTTCCAACGCGCAAATCAATAAAAAATATTAATAAATGGAGAGTAGGCCCCACTCAAGTAATTTTTTAATGACGGGAAAACGGCAAGGTTACCGTATGAAAACAAAATGTATATATTGGGGTTACAGTGTGGAAAGTAATATATGTTGAGGCACAACGTAGAAAAGTGAAATTAACAAGATTACTATATAGAAAAACCCTTTTTTTCATATCATACTTAGGGGTCGTTTGGTTTGTACGGAGTAAACGGGATGGAACGAACAAAGGGAATGAAATGGAATGGACTGAAAATCCCTCACATGTAATATGTTGTTTGGTGTAAAAAAAACAATGGGAATCACCACCACCACCACCACACCAACCCACACACCCCTCTTTCTTCACTTTCCCACTTTTCCAGCCACCCCATTCCCGTCGCACTAGTCACCGCCCTTCCCTAACCCGTCGCCGGAACTCGCCACCCCTCCCTAACCCTTTGCCGCCCCCCGAAACTACCTTCCCTCCCTAGAATATCTTCCCCACACCACGCATAAGGGTTTTCTAGGGTTATGCGTGGGTGTGGGGAAGGTTTTTCGGGGAGGGAAGGTAGTTTCAGGGGGCGGCGAAGGGTTAAGGAGGGGCGGCGAGTTCCGGTGAAGGGTTAGGGAGGGGCGGTGACTGGTACGACGTGGGGATGGCCGGGATTAGGGAATTTTTTCAAGGGAGTTGAAGGGATGACCGGCGATTTTCGAGGGAGTTGAGGGGATGGCCGGCGAGGGGTGGGGGAGTTGAGGGGATGGCCGACGAGGGGTGGAAGAGGTGCGGCGAAGGGTAGGCAGTGGTGCGGTTTCCGGTGATATGGGTAGGTAGGAGGGTGGTGGTATGGTGGTGTGGTGGCAAGGATTGGAATGGAAATACCTTGGGGGTGAGGAATGAACTTAGAGGAATTTGGGGGAATGAAGGGGGTAAAGGGAATTGGAAAAATGGCCTAACAAACAACAACAAAGGGAATGATTCCCGTCGATTCCCATTCCCTTTGTTGAATACCCCCAACCAAACGGCCCCTTTAAATTCGGGAGTTTGTTAAAATATAAAATACGTATAGAGATAACCCTAATAAATAGTATTTGGATGATAATAACCTTTAAAAAGTTTATTTACTTATTTGCCCTTATTAATGTTAATTACATATCTTTTTTTAACGGCAATTTCATGAAATGCCACTGAGTACTTAAAAAATTTACCAAATGCCATCGCGTTTTCAGAATTACCAAATGCCACCGAGGTTTAGTACAATATCACCATATGCCATTCCCGTCAGTTGACCGCCAGTACCCGTTAATTGACCGTTAGTTGACCCCACCACTTGCCACGTGTCACCTTCTGATTGGTCCGTTTTTAAAAAAAAATTAAACAAAAATTAAAAAAAACCAAAAATATTTTAAAAAAATAAAAAAAAAAAAAAAAAAACCCAAACCCCAGCCACCACCCAAAACCCCTTCCCTCCCCCTCCCCCCCCCCCCCCCCCTTTCCGATTTCCGGCCTCCCCACCCACACAACCCTCACCCTCAAAATCGACCACCCCACCCACGACTTTTTCATCGGAGTTGGCCAAGGAAGCGGATTCAACTGCTGGCGAGATCATGCTTTTCGGTGTTCGTGTTGTCGCTGATTCCTTGAGGAAGAGTGTTTCGTTGAATAATCTCTCTCGGTATGAACATCGCCTTGATTCTTCTTCTTCAAACGACGTCGCTCCTCCTCTTGCTACTGGTGGTGGTTATGCTTCTGCCGATGATGCAGTTGTTATGAATAATGCGTGTGATGCTGGTGGTGTTAGTCGTGAACGGAAACGAGAGGTATGAGAGAGATAGTCAGCGTCGCATATTGAAGTTGTTTTTTGTTTGTTTTATTGATTAATTTAGGATTTTTTGTTGATTGAAAAATCGATTGATTGTGATTGTGATTGATTAGGAGTTCCATGGACTGAAGATGAACACAAGCTATTTTTACTTGGATTGAATAAGGTTGGTAAAGGTGAATCGAAAAGGGATGGGGAAGGGGGTTTTGGGTGGGGTGGCCGGAATCGAAAACCGATGGGAAGGGGATGGGTTTTGGGTAGGGTGGCTGGAAATCAGAGAGGGAGAGGAAGGGGGGTGGGGTTTCGGGGTGGTGGAGGAAGGGGGGTTGGGTTTCGCAGGTTAGGGGATTGCGGCGGGATAGGGGAGGGGTCGCTGGTGGCCGACGCGCCTCCCGGTGCTAGCCCCGGCGGTAGGGGGTGGTGGCGGCTAAGGTTTTGGGGTGGGCAGGGGGCTCGACGACAGGGAGGACGTGGTGGCTGGCCACCTCTGAGTTCCCCTTTTTTTAATTTTTTTTGTTATTTTTGTTATTTTTTATTATTTTTTTTGAATTTTTTTTGGTTTTTTTTTTAATTTTTGTTTAATTTTTTTTTTTTTTAAAACGGACCAATCAGAAGGTGAAACGTGGCAAGTGGTAGGGTCAACTAACGGGCACTGACGGTCAACTAACGGAAATGGCATATGGTGATATTGTACTAAACCTCAGTGGCGTTTGGTGAATTTTGAAAAACGCGATGGCATTTGGTGTATTTTTTAAGTGCTCAGTGACATTTCATGAAATTGCCATTTTTTTAATATTTAAAAATATTGTGCGGACATTTTTGCCCCTAAAAATATTTATTTGTCAACAACTATTTGTAACATAAGACTAAACCGAAACAACAACTCCTAATACATAACTAGTTATGATGCGCGCATTACGCACGTTAACTACCTTATTAGCTCCAATAAAATTACAAATTATCATATGACATGCATATCATAGGTTATTATAGAATATACTCGTATATGTTTATGAACTAATATATTTTTTTTCAGTTATATTGGTTCATGGGCTTCCTACTTTTGGAATATGCTCCACAATATTTGCACGAATGGGTTCATAAATTGTAATTGTAATATAAAAGAAAGAACCAATGCACGTCAAGTAAGCAGAGTGTATAAAACCAGCATAATTCACGAAATGAAAAGGAGAGAGCTACATACCTAACATTTGCACTTTCTCATCAAGAGTTATTGGTTAGATTGCAACTGCTTAGTTGGAGTTAACTTAGTGAAATACAAAGAAAATATGATAATATAGATTACTCCCTCCGTTCCTTAATTGGATGTCTAGTTTCTTTTTTAAGAGTTTCAAAATTAGATGTCTATTTCCTTTTTTAGTAAGTGATATTTTTACCAAATTATTCTTATTCTCCAAATTTATTCCCCAAAATGTCCCCAAATCATCAGTGTGATGTGTCACTACTTTATTTACTTTTGCTTTTGGCATTTAATGGTTGCACGAGGCATTCCAAAGAGAGTTAGTGAGGCATTTACAAATACATAACGAGAGACAGTGCAATCATTTCACTTTAAATTGCACAAAATTTCACGTGGTATCATTGGGTGATCAAATAGTATCATTGTATGTATTCAGTGATATTATATATACTTGTAGTGGTGCGAAATACACTCTCAGTGGTATTTTATAAGCTTCTAATGGTACAAATAAAGTGTGATCCTCATTGAGTAGTCAAATAGTACCATTGTATATTCAGTGATATTATAAATGCTTTCAGTGGTACTATATATACTTTCAGTAGTACTTGAATAAAAATTCCAATGGTATTTTTATAAGCTTCTAATTGTACAAGTCAAAGTGTGGTCTCATTACTATTTTCCCTCTTTTTACATGTAATGGGACCCACAACACTTTTTTTTTTATCTCTCTTCTATGTACTTTTATTATATTTTAGTATTGTTATGTATTTGCTCATACATTACTACTTCCTCATGGTTGCACAGAAACATTTTATTCTCTCTCCTCCTCATTCCCCATTTGAATAATTGCAATCCATGTGCAGCATATTAAATGAATTTAATTGGTCCCTTTATTTTTCATAAACAAATGTCATTGGTCCTTTTTTTCTTAAAGGATTGTTGACATGTGTAAGCATTTAATTTAATTTCATTCTATTTTGTTTTATTCAAAGACAACAGTAAATGTCTTTTTATTTCCTTTATATTTCCCAATCATGGGTTTTAAGGATTCTCCAAGTTCCTTAATTCCCGTGTAATTTTAGAAATAGGCATCTAATTAAGGGACGGAGGGAGTATAATACCCGAGTCATGCCCGATCTCGTAAATGATTAATAATTGAATTATAGAAGTTTCTAGGAAAATATGAAGTATAAAACAATAGTAATCAATTATAATAATAGTCTTCAAAAGAATTATAATAATAAATAGATATAATGAATTTCCTAAACAAATTAATACTTCAAAAAAAAAGGTTGAGTTTACGATGGAAAATTCCTTGAAAAAAAAAAAAAAAACTCTGATTTACTATAGAATAATAAATTGTGTATTACGGTTTTTTCACCATGTATTTCTGAGTTTTTTGTTTATTCACCATAAACCCCTGGACTTTCTTAAATTTATTATATACCCCCTAGGTTTCACAAAAATACATCATATACCCTTGATAACTATTGATTGTTATTTTCATCAGTCATTATTAGGGTTAATTAGGACCTGAAACCACGCTAAATACATTTCTCTACCCCCGAAACCACCCACATTCCTTATTCCAGCCCCCAAACCCACCCTAAATTTCCTTTTCTCATTCTTAAAATCAATTGTACAAATATGGTTATGAAGATTTGGAGTGGTTTCGGGGATTGAAAAAAGGAGATGAGTGGTTTCGGGGATGGGGGAGAGAGTGATTTAAAGATGGTTTCGATGCATAATTAACCAAATTTTACTCATTTTGTCATCATTAGAGGTAAATGGTGAATTTTTGTAACAATTCAGGGATATATGGTGAATTTGAAAATTTTCAAGGGTACATGGTGAATAAATAAAAAATCAGAGGTATATGGCGAAAAAACCGATAATTTTATAATACTCTTATATACCACCTTCAAATTTTGTTTATTAACTTAATCAATCAATAAACAAGTAGTTCTTGGTATCTTAGGAAGGATTTCATCACATTAGATCAATTTTCAATAGAGGCACGACTTTGGGGCACTTAAAATTCCCTGCATTTAACGGATATTGCCTGCTAATCTGGGTCAAATTGATCCGCATTTTAGTATGAAACCTCCTTGATTCTTGTTTGTAGACTAACTCGATCTCCTCTTTGTTTGGATTGTCCATGTCCGTTATGTGTTGTCTTAAAGTTTAACAGTATTCACATAATTACTGTACTCCATTTCGGTCACCATACATGTTAACGACAATATAGTTATTCTACTTGCGTGGTAGAGACAAAAATGTTATTTGGTTATTTTACTAATTTGCTCAAAAAGAACTTCAACTAAGCAAATGAGCAAAAACATAAATTAGTGAGCGAGGCAACCATTGAAACATTGCTTTATTTTTAATGTATGTATGGACCCGGTCCTCGGATTGCTGGTAAGTGGATTTTTGAGATGGGAGTGATTTTTATTTTTATTTTTATTTTTTTGGATAAAAAAAAAAAGATCAATATTGTTTTTTAATCCCAACTTTCACCAATTTATTTTGGATAAACCCAATTTTTGATTATTCTGCAATAATCCCAACTTTCACCTGCGTTTCCTTTCTTCAATCCGGTTTACTGGTTACCTGAAGAAAGAGTCAATTTTTTTTAAAACAAATTATATGGCACGTGTTGCACTCTAATTGGTTCAAAAATATAAAAAAAATATTAATTTAAATTAAAAAAACAAAAAACAAGGAAAAAAAAAACCAAAGACCACCAGCGTTGGGTGGCTGGTGCTGCACTTCCTCAACCGCCAAGACCTACACCCGTTACCCTCTATGACCCCCCAACCCCAGTTTTTCGACCTGCCGAAAACCCTCCTTGCACCGGATACCCTCTCATCACTGCCGTTGATTACGTTATCCGACAATGAGAGGAGAGAGAAAGGGAGTGGGCTGCATTTTTTAGGTGGTTTCGGGGGTGGGGGAGGTGATTTCGAGGGTTTACAGGTGGTTTCGGGGGTGGGGGGGGATAATGGGGACGGTTTCAGGGATGTGGGGTTTGGTTATGGGTGGTTTCGGGTTTTATGGGTGGCGGTTTCGACGCAAGGGTTTGGCTATGGCTGGTTTAGGCGGTGAGGGGAGGTAGAGGGGGCCGATTTCGCGGGTTTAGTGTGGTTTCTGGGGAGGTTTTGGGGGTTGGGGCTAGGGAGGCAGTGGTTCAGGGTTGGGTGTGGAGGAAGGGGTCACCGCTAGTGGTTGTGGGCTAGTGGTGGCTAGTTTTGATTTTTTTTTTCTTTTTTTGTTAATCGATTTTTTCTTTAATTTCTTTAATTTTTTAGACCACTTACAGCTTGACACATGTCAAGTGACCTAGAAAATTAGGTCATTGATTTTTGTTGACCGATTTGGGTATGAAGAAAGATAGATCACTTTAAAGTAGGGATTATTGAGGAATAATCCAAAGTTGGGATTAATAAAAATAAATTGATGAAAGTTGGGATTAAAAAACAGTATTATTAATCCTAAAAAAAATGTGGTAAACTAAATTCAATCAAAACTTGCTTAATCCTGTTACATTGAATCATATTATTACCTTTGATTCTGAATCACCTTAACAGTTTCCATTTTATTTGTTTTTAAAAGTTCTTAATATTTTAACTACTATTTTTTTTTTGGTGAATTCCATCATTTAAAACCTTATTTCACTTATCAAAACTTATCTGATCTAATCTGAACTTACCTGAAATTATTTAAACTTATTTTAGTTGTAATTTATACCCGAATAACCCTTATCAAAACTTTTTCTCCTAAACTGAACTTATTTGAACTTAACTAAACATAGTTAAACTTATTACACCTAAGTGAAAATAAGGTGAACAGAACATACCCTTTTCCAAAAAAATATTCACCTTTTCCCTGATGCCTCAGCTCCCGCTTACCTATCTTTTCTTAATTTTTATTTTTATTATTTGAGGGACCTAATCTTCTTAAATTCTGACATAATAGTAAGTTTGATTTAGTCGGTTCCCATATGTTTGCCATAGTGGAAATTATAATTTTGTTTGTTTGTTTATTTTTCATGTGTGTAGGGAAACTAATTTGGAAGATTTGTCTTGTAGACATGTGGAATTGAGTGTTTTAGTATTAGCATTGCAGATTTGAAAATTTTGTCTTGCAAATTTGCTAATCAAGAAGTGCCATCATCTCAACGACAATACATCAATATGGTTATGTCAAGAAGAGCACAAATACATCTAAAATTGCTATTCAAGATAGCATATTAGAAGCGATGCCATTAATACAGAATCATTTAGTTTTTATATTGAGAATTTAGATGAATGTTTGCAAGTTCCAAATAACCTTTAAACAACAAGATCAACCCATATTTCACAAAATCTTTATTTTTTTATTAGAAAGGAGGATCCAAACCAGACTTCAACCTTCACGGTTTTTCGTTCTAATATTTACAGGCAAAGCACTTGGGAGTGGAAGGAAGGGTAAGGGAATCCTTACCCCCAAGTACGTATCCCCACTTGGTAGCTTAAGATTGGAATCTCATACCTCTAGATAGGGGTGTACATGAACAGGACCGGACCTGAAAACCGACCTGACCCGGACCTGTTGGGACCGGACCTGACCCGGACCTGTAGATTCAGGTCCGGTCCCGGTCCTTGAAAATCAAGGTTTCCGGTCCCGGTCCGGATCAGGTCCAAACCCGGGGTTTTCAGGTCTGGACCTGAAACCCGTTAAAAATGCGTTTTTTATAAAAAAAAAAAAAAAAAAAAAAAAAAAAAAAAAATCCCAAATTTCAAAAGAATCCGTTTCAT